TCCATCGCTGCTCGTCTTGTCATCGCAACTTCTCCCACGCGTCATTTCATTCTACTCTCCTACATTAACACGTCATTACTGCGCTACCTACTGCCCCCCACTGGCATGGAAGAGCATGTATTACTTAGCCAGACACTATATTGCAGCTCAGACGCTCAACAATGGCAAAGTATTTGCAAAAACGAAGTAATGTTTTTTTGGACTCATTAAATGAAATTGGACATTTTCCCACGGCACAGCTGACGATCTCTCATGGCACACTGGTGTGCTGCGGCACAGCAGTTGAAAATCACTGCTCTAGAGGACCAGGTTTCATTACGATGTGAAATGTTTAAGTTCAAAACTCCTGAAACATTTTTTTATAAACAAATCAGATTTTATTTCCAGAAAAAAGAAAAATGTGACATTTACTAAAAAAAAAGATGATTCAACATTAAATATTAAAGTCTGTTTGTGTTCCACATCTCCCATGATGCATTGAGATCCTTGTAGGAGGCACAGCTTCACTCCAGCTTTAAAGAGGTGTAACGTCATCCCTCCAACACAGGGACCCTGGTCCAGACCGGGTCAGTGAGCTGGTCCCATGAGTCCGGCTTTAGCAGCCAGAGCCTCGTTCTGCTGGATGTGGTACTCCTGGAACCTCATGGAGATCCGCTGAGTCATCTTCAGGTACTTCTGGAGACAAGACTCAGAGCAGCTGGTCTGTAAACACACAAGTCAATAAAGTTTATTCAAAGCATCGACAAACAGCCAATCACAGAGCTCCGTAAAAACAACGCTGAAAACAAGCGTCTTTCTGATTCTGGATTCAGCAGCTGAGGCTCATGGGTAATGTAGTCTTCAGAGAAATCTGACAAAGGATTAAGTGACATTCGATTGGTCTAGATGGCTAAGAGAAGTTGTGACATCATCGCTCCTCCTGATACCCAATCAGAAGAGCAGAAATGTTGTTCTGGCTTTATGAAGAAGTAAAAGTTTACTGACTGAATCCTCAGATGTCCCAGCGTCCCTGAACATTACAACAGGAAGTAGCTCCTCACCTCCTCTGGCTTCACTTCCCTGCTGGTGAAGTCTTTCACACAGTCCATGAAACAGTTCTCCGTCACCTTGTTGTAGGTCCCCAGGAACTCCTTAAACTAGAACACACACACACACACACAGGCACGTCATCGTTTATCTGAACCATCAGATCAATAACTCATAAACTACTAATGATTCCTGCTCGTACCTGTTTCACCTGGTCGGACTCGGTCACCTGGACCGCCATGATCCGGATCAGAGTCTGAAGAACAGATCGGCTGTTACACTCCATTCAATAAAGTCACATTTGAAACATCTTACACCTAAACACGAGAGAACCTGAGTCTGGTGCAGCCGTGACGTAATCGTTAGCTAGCGGCTAACGCGAGCTAGCATTAGCTTCTTCTGGTTTAGACTTCAATGTTTCTCTTCCAGCTTCGAACCGACAACCTACGAACACACCTGAGAGATAGTCACGTGTTTAAGTCTCACCTGTGGTTTATTGTTGAATGTGTTTAACGTGGAGCTCTTCAGCGGCTGAAGGACGTGTGATGACCGTCGTCTTCTTCTTCTTCTGTGGTTTTACTGGAGGACTACAAACACGTCACTGGAGCTTAGCGCCACCTCCTGGACCGGAGTGTGTACTAATATCTTTAGTAAAGGTAAATATAAGTAAATACTAAATATAAATCCACTTCTCACTATACTTTTACTACTTTCCTGTTTACTTTCAGTTTATTCTTACTCATTTATTTTACTTTATTTCATATTTTATTCATATTTGTTAGAACTATTTAATGTCTCAGATTATCATTTAGTTTTTACTCTTTGATATTTAAAGAGCATTTAAAACGCTTGATCTTCATGTTTCCGACGGCTTGGAACACACCATGAAATGAACTAATTTCATTGGTTGGATGAAGTGATCGATTTTTAATGACGTTGTTTTTGGTTTTCTGAATCTAGGCTCGGAGTGAGACATCCATCCTGAGTGTCTCTTTAAAATCTCTCCGAACCGGAAGCCGGAAGTGTTTTATTGTCAGCAACAGTTGCTGTTTGTCGCTTACCACTTTGAGGTTTTGTCCGTTTTCTTAACTTGACATTTGAACGTTACTCCACTTTCCCGCCAGAACGTCGGTCTCTCTGAAGCAGAACTTCTGGTTTTTACCGTCCACAACTCTTCGGACCCGGATGTTGTCGGAGCGGGACGTTTGAAAAGTGGAGCAGCGCGTGAACCAGTGAAGAACCCGGATGTTGACCCGGTCTGGATCAGACACACCGGGTCACACCGAGCACGTGTTGATTCGGTCCACTCGAGTTTTTCCCTCGAATCAGAGACACGAATCTGGAACCGGACCGGCACCAGGACCGGTCCAGATAACCATTCAGAAACTGCGACAGAAGCCGGGTCAGGCGCCTCCTCCTCGGGCAGCAGGATCCTCTCAGTCCGGTAAGAGGTCTTGGTGTTACGTCACTACTGGTTTAAGACCTCCTGGTTCTAATCCCACTCTCCTCCTGACGATAAAAGACCAAGAATAATCTTTAAAGGTCATTATAGCCTATTGAAGAGGTATTAATGGAAAAAATAACTTTAACCATGAATAGTATCAGTTTTATTCAATGAAATCCATTTACAAGGATTTTAGAATATCACATGCAACACATGTAGAACATCACATGCAACACATGTAGAACATCACATGCAACACATGTAGAACATCACATGCAACACATGTAGAACATCACATGCAACACATGTATCGCATGTAGAACATCACATGTAGAACATCACATCACATGTAGAACACGTATGTTTAGGCTTGTTCAGTAGGGATGCTGACAGTAACGCCTCTGGTAATGATAGGTACTTTGGTAATGATAGGTACTCTGGTAATGATGGGTACTCTGGT